TTTAAAGTGTGATAATGTGTTAAAAGATTCTATTAGATTTGTTTGACCAATAAATATTTCCTCAAGTTGGTTAACTTTATATGATGTAATTTGTTGGGGGTTATCTTGGTGAAAGAAGACAGTATATTGACTATTAAATAATAATTTGAAGGGGAAGTTTAAGGAAGGGGATATTAGATCAGTTGTAGTAGTTAATAGTTTCCTGGAAACTATTAACTACTTAGATTATACTATAATATACTCAGGAATGACGTGTGTTTTGCATTTTACGACACACACCTGAGGTATTTATAGTCTACCCATCAGGTGACGTGCATTTTGCTTTTTACGACACACACCTGAGATATTTATAGTCTACACATTAACGCTATATAGGTTGTATTTGTATCGCCACTTGAGAACCGCTAAGGCATGCACCAGTGTGACGTGTATTTTGCTTTTTAGGCCATGCTTGAGTGACGTGTATTTTGCTTTTTATGACACACACCAAGGTGGCGTATTTCATACATTTAATCACATGGGAGGGTCCGATGTGAGGGCTATGCCCAAACCTGGCACGTAGTGCCGTAGTTAACGTGGCTGATTTCATAATGTTGGCCACACGTGAGCCGGGTGACAAAAAAAATATATCTGACGATGCATTCAATCATGTGCCATTATTTGTGGGCCCGATGTGAGGGCTATGCCCGAACCTGGCACGTAGTGCCTTAGCTTTCTAATTAATTCCTCTATGAGGGCCAGGTTTGAGGCACATAGTGCCGAAATATTAACCGTGATCTTTTACATAATTCACCCGAATACTGATCAAGATTGAGGCACGTAGTGCCGAATGTTATCTGCCATATTGCACCCGAATATCGCCCGAGAATGAGGCACATAGTGCCGAATTAGTACTCCTATCTGGTAATACACCAAAGCATAATTTTATAATATATATATATCTGTAATAATTTTACCTTGGCGTATTACCGAAACTATGCTATGTTTTCACAACCTGGAATTATTTCTCGCATAGTTAATATTATTAAATGTTATTCATATGTAGTATTCCTACTTTGGTTATTAGGTTTGAGGCACATAGTGCTGAAATGATATCCCCATTTGGTAATACACCAAAGCATAATTTTATAATATATATATATCTGTAATAATTTTACCTTGGCGTATTACCGAAAGCTAGCTATATTTTTCAATTCCAGAACTCTTTCTCGCATAGTTGGTGCCTTCGAGTACTTTGCTTTATGTTAAAAAATTGGATCACATTTGATAACCTTGACATATTATTTTTTTGAAAACTTTGATGTATTACTTTTTTGAAAACCTTGGCGTATTACTTTTTTGATAACATTGACATATTACTGAATCGGCTATATTTTTGATAACCTTGACGTATTACTTTTTTGAAAACCTTGACGTATTACTTTTTTGATAACCTTGACGTATTACTTTTTTGATAACCTTGACGTATTACTAAATCGACATAACGATAAGTCTGTATAAAGTACCAAAATTGCGCGACACAAAAACAGTTATCAATTAACCTAGCTTATCTATATGTCGAGCCTATATCGCAGGCTTACATGATTTTAATAATGGCAATTTACTAAAATTTTCTCTTACCTTTGCATATCACTTACCCACGCATCTCGCAACTGATCACTTTTTTTACTGACTCCCCATTCACGTCTCAATATAACGAACCATATAACTGCAATAATTAACAAGATAAGAAAGATATATGCGGATAGAGGTGACATCAAAGTGCTTGCCACAATAGGAAATGCTTCTATTCCTCCCATCGAAATCTGAGGATATGATTTGATCGGAGAGGGGGTATAGCCACTGTGTGACTGCCTTTGGCAATTTTCCCGTTGTGCAAGGTATGTGGTCATATTCTCAGATATAATTGGTGATATATCTGGTTTTATCGATGTATCTAACATAATATCTTTACTAGTTTCGCTATTATTAGTTTCATCACTTACCTTAGGAATAATCTCGGTATCGACTTTTGCTGGTTCTGTAATTTCATCATCAGTGTGATCCAGCATAATAACGGAGCTATTATCAAGACATGTATCGATTTTTTTGGTCTCATCCATATTTTTTCCGCGTATAAAATATTTACTGAGATTTTTATTAGGTTCACTAACTGCAGATATATCATCAGACTTGGTTATATTTTTTTCATCGACCCCCCAATCACAGAACGAGATACGTCCTCCGATTCCATACGCCCAAGTTCACTAATTTTCAAGGCCAGTTCATCCTTTAAATTTACCAATTCAGACTTGAGAGACGTGATCTCGGATTCTTTTTTTGATATCTCTTCCTGGGTCGAAACTGCGTCATTCTGAGCCGATGTTAATCTACCTTCTAATATTTTTTTCATAGACCGAAGTGTTGTAATTTTCTTGGATTTTATATCAATCTCAAATTTAGAATTAGCAAGAGAAATAGCTTTGCTAGCATTTTCAAACTGCAGGTTTTGATTCTCAGTAACAATCCCTCCTAGTTTTTTACTCCACTTTTTTCTATCCCGATCCCATTGTTCTCTCTCCCGATTAAATTTTTTTTCTTGTTTTCCATACTTATCCCGCAATTTAGCATTATAAGAAGCTATCTCAGAAGAATCTTGGAGGGCGTCATATAATTCTTTCTTAAGGTCTATCACATTGGCCATATTAAATAATAAGAAATATTATGGAAAATAACAAAATATGGGACATACGATATATATATACTTATCTGGTGAAGCTATCAAAAAAATATGCCTCTAATATAATTCAACAATATCAGATAATTACTGATTTTTTTAGAAAATTATTGAATATTAAGTATGTAATTACATATAATTACCGATCTTTTTCGATCATAAGGGGTATAGGATGTTTTCAATAATCTTCGATAATTTTTGACCATAAGAGATATAGGCGTATTTTAGTATTTTCAATAATCTTCGATAATTTTTTATAATTATAAAAAAAGGATGGAACACATAACCGTGAAATATTATCGCGCCGGCACTCCTTATCTATCTCCAGAAGCTATTGAGGAAATAATTCAATCTCGGGGGACTGTTAAAAATGCATGCAGGGAAATGGCTGATAAATATGATACTTCAACTCGTAGAATTTATGAAATTTGGAAAAGACATGCTCAAGGATTACCCCTGCGCAAACAACAAATAATACATAGTGTTGCTTCTTCTGAGGTAATGCCTGAAAATAATACTTCGGATAGGCGGTCAAAGAAAAGAAAATCAGGATCTAATCCCAAATCTGTTCGAATATCTGATTCAGTCAATATTATTAATAAGGCTGACATGACCAATAATCCGATAAAAAACGTAGATGAAATAGACGAACTACAAGCTAAGCTTACACAAAGTCGCAAAAAAAGAGAAGAAGGTAAACGTGAGTCGAAAAGATTCATGGATTCCAACTAATCTATTTTTGTTTTTTCTAGAGTAGTCTGTAATCCACATAGTATTTCAATATCTAACTCATTTCTATATGCCCGTAGTTTTTTATTAAGCTCGAATAATTCAGTATGAGAATCAAGTACCTCATATAATGTTTTTTCGAGTTCCTCATAGCTCATGCGTTTTTTTTTAAAGTCGAATTGACAGAATCTAGGGACAGAGTCCCATTACTTTGTAATAAGCTAAAACCCGCAGGAGCACACCACTTATCAAATAGTATATTGTCATCCTTACCACTATCTGTCTCCTGAGAAATTTGATCGGATACCAGAGGCTTATTATCCTGAGATGCGGTTGCACAATTTACTTCAACCTTATTCTTGGCTTTGTGCATATTAATTGGAATAATAAAATCTTTGTCATTATGACGGATCTTTAACTTATTGTCCTTCCAATCAATCACACACTCATATTTTTTAAGGAGTGGATTCGGAAAAATCAAGGTTGACTTGGGAGGTCGCACAACTGCAAAATCCTCACGTATAGTGAAACCTGAAGGAAATGTTATGGGTAACTTACGAGCAACGCCAATAGATTCTGTTGGAACAGTAGCAACACCACTTAGATCATACGTTACCGATTTATCAATTTCCCAACCCACACGTTTAACAATATCTTCTGATATAATCGCAAGCTCGGCACCACTATCAAGTACCATTGCTGGTATTTTTAAGCGCTTGATTTTACATTCTATAGTTGCGAGACTTATCGGCTTTTTCTTTTGGACAAAATCAATCTCCATGGGATCATTAAATGTCTCTTCTTCCCCATCGGATTCGGGTAATGCTGGAACTGGTTCTCGATAATCATTATAATCAGATTTTTTGGTAGATGGAGATATATGACTCATAGGGTCGCCCCTAAAGGGCTTGGATGGATTTTCAATTTCTGATTTCAGTTTCTCTAACCAATGTGCAGGTAAAGCTTTTTCAAGCATATCTAATACAATTTTTTGGAGAGACTGTTCTACACGAGTTAATTTATTTCTGGACTTACCAGAAGTGGAAGTATCCTTCTGTTTTGTCTTGCGAGGTTTGGATTCTTTCTTGATCTTGGGTTCCTTAGGCTTTACTTTTTTTTTGCTTTGACAGCATTGATAATTTTCGTGATTTCAGTCTCAGTTAAATTATTCTCGGTATCAGATTCTGATTCAGAACCAGAATTAGATCCGGATTCAGAACCAGAATTAGATTCATTATCAGAAGAATTAGTATCTGATCCTGACGGAGAATCTATATTAGCAATATTTACCTTAGATCTTTTTTTAGATCTACTCTTGCTAGAAGTAGTTGCAGATTTACTCTTCTTTTTTCGAGTACACTTGCGAGAATTATGACCAGTCCTATTACAATTTGAGCACCGATGCTGAGATAATTTTGAAACAGCATGAATCGATTTTTTTACAGCATTGGCTATAACTTTATTTAATGATAATCCCGCCATACTATCTGTAAGATCATCTATTGGGTCATAATCATAAAGTTCAACAGGATCAATATCAGGATTTTGCTTGTGCATCTCATCTAAAAATCGCTTGATAATAATATCTTCTACCTTTTTTGCATTATCTGATTTTTGTTTATAGGATGTTTTTTTATTCTCTAAGGTTTTAACAGCTCTAGCCAAGGTATCTTGAATTGATTTGGTTATAGCTTGTAAGTCTGGCTGAGAAATTTGTTGTGATGAAGACTGTAAATGTGGAGAAGTCGGTTGTATTGAGGTCATTTGAGCTTTCACAATTCTTTCCACATCCGCTTCAGTTAAACCAGTATCTCCAGAATAAATATTCTTTGAACCTTTAGATGGAGATGATTTATATTTCGATTGTGAAATTTTAGATGTTAATCCTAGTCTTTTTTCCAATCTACGCGTTTCAATTCGTTCCAATGTTGTAAAAAGATCTTCTAAAGGTTGTTCAGTGCCAATACGATCTGCATCATCCTCTAGATCAGACGACAAGCCACGTAAAAATTGACCTTTGATTTGTTTCTCATCATGATTTAACATATTACCATATTTTCTAAGTTTTGCATAAAATGTTCCTAAAGGGTCATCGCCTTGTACCAATGATCCAAACACTAGACTGCGTTTTTCACTAAGTACAGTAGGATATTCATTCTTGAGCCAATATAATGCCTGTCCAATTCGTATATTATCTAATATTATAGCATTATTATTACCTGCATTCACTGCATTGGCAGGTCTATCTGATGGTCGCCCTCCAGCCAATCTCCAATCTTCATTAAAACTTTCAGCAGGAATCATTGAATTACCAATCATTACAGCATTATTAGCAGGAACATTAGCATAGGTATGGGCAATTGAGGGATTTCTAAAACTATTAGAAGTGTTCATCTGTGCCATAGTACGCCCTTGAATACCAGCTATGTTAGCTTGTCCATGATTTGCAAGAATATTATGAAGTTCCCACCGCTTACCAAGAATTTTTCGATCAAACCAATCTAATGCTGATCCAGATAAATATCCTCGAAGAATACCAAATGCTCTATCTCGAGCTCCACCAACTGGATTTATATCTATACCAGCTAAATATGCTGATAATCGACTAATAAAAATATCAATATCTTCATCATAACCACCTGAAAATATTGGTGCCGGGATTGTTGCCATGTTTGTTTGTATATTTATAGGTAGATTATTATGAAGCGCAAATATTTGCTGATTCAAATTCAAAATTATTTGCCGAGCATCATGAGTTTTAGCTTTCCATTTTTCATATCTTGGAACAACGCGATCATACCAAAATTGTAAGAAAACCCTATCATTATGGCATTGTCGCAACTGCCGTTCCAATTGCTGGTTTGATCGCTTATTCAGGAGCTGTAATGCAAATTGTTGATGTAACAATGAACTAATACGTCTGTCTTTTGGAGTTTTGATATAGATAGCATTCAACTTCCAAAAATTGCGATATTTTTCTATCTCCTCTATTTGTCTTTGAAAAACAATATTTTGCTGATTTAATAATCCAAGGTTTTGTTGTTGTTGGGCTACTTGAGCTTGAAAGGTGTCTTGTTCTTGAGTAAGCTGGTTAACTTGATTTTGAAGATCTCCATTTCGTTGTCTATAGCCATTAATATCCTGCTGTAATTGTACTATTTGAGCATCTTGAGCATCTCGTTGATTTGCAATATTATCTAAATCCCGATCTATTCTTTGATAATTAGTCCGAATAGTATTTAAAGTACCATGCATACCTTGGACAATATTGGCAGGATTGTTTAATGGTGTACCATGTCCTCTGAAATAGTTTTCGAGTCGAGTTAACCCCCCTAGTAATATTTGTAAAGGGATCTAAATGTGCCATATCTGTATCTTCCTTTTCTGAATTATATAAGCTTGGAGAGCTTCTTCTGGAAGAAATAACTTTGATTCTATATCTCAGATTTTGAACTCGCTCTTCCAATTCTTGAAACTGTCTTTCTATATTAGCAATGTGAGATACCTTATCTCGAATCTCTTTCTTGGCATTATAGATTTGTATACAAAGGCTAGAGTTTTCTGATCTTAACTCTGCCCTTTCCTCATCTGAAGCATTCTCGAGCCGTTCCAGTTCTTCGTTAAGAGATTGGATTTCTTTCTCACATCTGGTATATTTACGCTCCAGCTCATTTATGTATTTCTCATTCGACCTATTAATTGAAACTTCGTTAGATAACTCATCTCTTAAAGCTTGATTTACCTGTTCCAGTTCCAATTCCCGATCAGAGCTTGGTCCACAAGATATTCGATTAGGATGTGGTCTACGAAATGCCATGTTATTACGAAGT